CACTTGAGTTCTCTATGGGTAGAAAGAGGCGATCATATTAGGGACGAGTATGCCTTTGAAAGACGAAACTAAAAAGTAAATAACAGTGAGACTTGAAAAATGTCAATTTTCTCAAGATCCTCGTCCACAAACAGTGACATGATTAAAACCTTCTTATTAAGTTTACCATATTTTTTTTTTTGTCCGGGTGTAACCTTTACAGCCAAATTTGTTTTGCATAGATCAGCACTTTTACATGGCATAAATTTTATGCTCCTTGGGTTTCGTCAACTCCTATGAGGAAACCTTGTCTTAAATGTTCTGATATGGGGATTGAGCCTGGGATGAAGGGGCGAACTTTATTCAATCTCGGTTTAATTTTTTTGTCTTTTCTCCGTAGGCTTTGATCATTGGATTTGTCTTGTTTTCGTTGATAATTGCTTGCTGTGGGAATCTGACTCCTGAGGTTGTCAGATTTGGAAAGGATTACAAAAATGGGAGTACAGATGACAAGTCCAATGTACTAGCTCTGTTTATAGGACTGGTATGTAATCTTTTTTTTTTTTTTTTTGTTTCGCTTCGGCGCGGAATTCAGAACTCTAAGTTAGGCGGTTGTTCGTGACATTGGCAATTGTTTATCGCGATATACTGGATTGCTTTATTTCCAATTTTGGTGAGATAGAACAAACTCCAGGCGGTTGAAGTAATCAAGAAGGAACACATACGCCAAAGGGTGTAGAAGAATGACGTTGATTACTATGAATTATGTGGAAATTTCGGGGCACGCTCATTTTTTACGACGGCAAATCACAAATGATATACCTTACGCACGAACTTGTACACAGAACTCTGTTTATCGGAATGTAAGTTTCGAAAAAGGTGTGAATTGGTTCGTAGACGCGAATCAGAGGTGAATTTTTAACCCGGTAGCGTTGACAGAAATGTACGTTTGTAAATTTCTACCTCGATTAAAGTATGGATACTTCACGTACACAACAAGATGGCCTCTGGGCTAGCCTACTGGACTACACATCAGGGGGTCTGGGTTTGAGTCCTGACTGTGTTCTATTCTTTGGCGCGACATTTTACTCTCACATTGCCTCTTTCTAGGCAATGTGGGGGGGGGGCTGGGAGGTTAGTTACCGGCAGACTCTTAGGGAAACTTTAGTTAAGGCTGGAATTACTAACCCTTTGCAGTGGGTATTAAGGTTGGTGGGACGTTTCTCAATCCTTGATAGCCAGAAAGTATACCATATTTCTAAATCTGCTCTCTGGTAGGGGTTTGGATTCTTATCGTGTGGGGCATTTGGCGTGGATATGGTGTTGCACTACAAGCTGTTTCAGACGCAACGAGCTCAAGAGACACCCACTGAACAATCGCAGGGACCTCCCCAAAGACGAGCTTGGGATATCAATAACGACTTCTTGAATTCTACGACGTTCAAAGTAAAATTAGTGGAAATTGTAAGTTTTTATTATCGTCTACGATAATGATTTCACAAGGGACCAATAACTAAAAAATCAGAGATCTTAACATCACCCGGTGAAGTTCAACGTACTTTGCTCAATCACTGTATTTTGTTTTGTTAAGTTTGATATTAATCAAAGTCCAAACCGAAAGGCCAGAGGGTACGATGTAACCCTGTAAAATTTTATATTAAACTTACACTATTGCAATCAAAGTTAACATATTTCACCCCGCCGATTCAGATGTTACTTCGAAGTTTTTGGTTTGGGTTGGACGCGATGGAGCGCACTTGCCTTGCGGTTGGGTTATTGTGCATATCGATGCCTAGTATCCCCCTAAATGCTGTGAACAGCTAACAGCATTGATCTGTGATGTTGTATATGTAGATTTTCAGTGTCCACGTTTAATCCATACCTTTCAACGTAACTGTGAAGAAACGGAACACGAATCTCAGAACTGAATCTTGCAAACCTTAAGAATTGAACCTTGCGAACCTTAAGAACTCAACACTGCGAACATTTATGTTATTTTTTTAATTAGAACCTAGCTTGAAACCAAATACTGCTTATCTTATCAAAGGGCGTGTTTATTGACACACGCATAGCGTTCATATACCAGAATTGAGTTTAAGCCTTCGAGAGAAGTTGTTTTCCACGAGAACGGATAGTTTCTTTTTGACGAGTTAGAACTTTGGAATCTTATAAATCTAATTATCGTAGGATATAGCAAATAAAAACCTTAACAGCAACCTTGTTGAGGCAACACTCTGTAAAGGGTATTACACTGTAAGATAGTCACTGCAGCAACAAAATTTGAACTACAGTTATGCCACTTTGGAATCGCTTTTAAAAAAACATGCAAATATTTCCATAGCGAAATGGTCAGTTGAAAATCCTTTTGTTTTACATAATCTTAGTAACATCGACCTTCATCAACATTTTTACACGTATTTTCAGATGTTCCTGTTCGCGGCATGGGTGTGCATTGTCATATACTTTGACATGGATATTTACTGGATTACGACTGAGGATTCAGAGGCCGATTTTTTTAAGGGAGTCACCATCTTTTCCTGGGTGATGGCTGTTCTTTTGACTCTGACATTTGTGTTGAGCTTTGATAAGCTATGTGGCCTCTCTTCCCGATGGACATTGACAGTAAGTGATATATTTCTTTTTAATAGATATTAGCTGATAATTATCCTTATCGAGGTTATCAAGCTGGGAGACTGAGTAACCTATATACCTTATTCCAAAGGCAGTCTTGCCCAAGTTATTTTTTAGACAAATGAATCTGTCCTCCCCGTAATGAAATTCTAACCGACAACCGACGTGTACATAAAACAGGTATGTTAGGCACGCCGGGTAAAACATCGTTCAAAAATTGTCGAGGCTCCCTTCTCAGAATCCACACTATTTCGTGATTACGCAGAATTGTCGCTTGTTCCCCACGCGTTGGCTGAATGTTTCAGCGAAGACCGCCGCACGGGTAGGCGCCTGAGCAAAATTTGCGGTACAATTTTTTATTACAAGATACTTCTTGGATCTCTGTCACGTTACTTAGAAGACTTTGAACTCAGTAAATTTCCCAGATGATTTACTGCATGGTTTCTTCATCTCGAATGCTCACGAAAATATTCTACAATTCAACTGCTCGGACTATTGTTATGTAATCATACAAAATTGCACAGGATTGGCTGATGGATTAAGTGCACGCGCAAGGCCACGTGCAATGAGAACGTAACGCAATATCACGATAGTCTCCAAACACTTGACTACGGAAAATTAACCTCAGGACTAATGTTCGTATCGAGTGTGGAGAAAAGTGTTGCTCTCTCTCAGGTTGGTCTCTCCTGTCTATTAGTTTAACTACAAACCGTGTGCTTCGCATTGGTTGTATTGCCCTGTTTAATGTATTTTTATGTATTTAGTCTGTAGGTGATTTATTAACTCGACTAAGGAAATGAGAGATCGATTGTTGATGCCAGAAGGGAAAATTAGAATTTTAACGCATTATTTGAAATGTTTGTTTATATCTTTGATATTTTCAGACTTTATGTGTTTACCTCCTTGTCGCCATTTTGTTGATCGCTTGCTGCGGAAACCTAACTAAGCCTGTCATCGACTGGGCAAAGACTTTCAAATATGTGAGCACGAATAACAGGGCTAATATATTAGCTCTGATTATAGCAGTGGTAAGTAATGTTTGTGTGTTTGCACACTGATTCAATAAAGTTTAAATTCCCTCCTCCGCCCTAGCAGAACGACCTGTGACCAACGACCTTTAATGTGGTTTCACCAACAGTCGAAAGTAAAATTCTTTTGATTCATTTGAATATGATTCGATCGTATTCATCAACAATTTTGAGCTGATGAACGAGAAACACTGAATAATGAGAGTACACCGATTTTGACTTGACAGCCGCTGGGGTACATCTCGTGGATAATTGTGATTGTAGATATCATCCTTATGTGCAAGTTGTACCAGCAGCAAAGAGCGCAGGAGGCTGGCTCCTCGGCACAGTCGGGTGTCGTCCAACATCCTGCCGTCGTGATTGTCCCACAAGGCGCTAAACAAGTTCCTTATCAACCAGCTGCATATCCAGGACAACAGCCCGTCCAATATCCGGAACAACAACCCGTCCAATATCAGGGACAACAGCCCGTCCAGTATCCGGGACAACAGCCCGTTCAGTATCCGGGACAACAGCCCGTCCAGTATCCGGGACATCAGCCCGTCCAGTATCCGGGACAACACCCTGTGATGGCAGGAGTTCCTGCCTACGGTTTGCAAGCACAGAATGGAGAAAATCAAAAATGAAATGTAACAACGTGCTTTGTAAAGCGAAGTCTTCTTTAATATGCGCAGAGCAATTTTGCAAAATTTAGAACTAAGGTGACTGATTTTGGCGTAGTGACGAGACAAGGGTCGCTTTTAGTTAAGTCTTCGATTGCCGTTTGGTTTGCTGATATAGTATCACAACTCGAGATGATATGCTTTGTAGAAAAAGCGCAAATAAGTTAGGTCACTGCGGAGAAAAATTATTTGTGTTCGCCGGGGAATCTCATTTCCCTATTGTGGTCAGTGATAAAGAAAAGCAAAAATGTCAAGGAAAATATTATGTGGTTATTTAACAATGTCTGCGTGCTGTCTTAAGGAATACTAATATTTGGCAGTATATTGAGCCACAACTAAGCTAGGTAGGATTTATAAACATGTATTATGCTTTTAAACAGAGTATTAAATATCGACGGTAATTTTAGTTAGTTCCATCTCTTTGCATTCCACGAAATCACCGTCGATAAATGATCGAAGCCCTGAGTTTATTTACTGAGAATCCCGATTTCGCGCTCGCGGCAGCTTTCAGTTGAATGTCGATTGCAATCCGCGATTAACTTGGGTTTGCTCTCCTTCACTCTTTGATTGGTCATGATGATCGGCCCACTCTCAGTGAAACTCTCTCCAACCAATCTTAACTTAGTAAAACACGTCCCTCTGAGATGGTTTAATGTATTTAATTATTGACTGAGTGGTAGGGCCGGATAACAAAATATTTGGCTCGAGGTCATGATGACCGATTTCAGTGAGGTCTGTTCGTCATGACGGAAAGCCAAATATTTTCCCGTCCAGCCTGACCAAGCTCAGTTAATAAGCATTTAATCCTCTCTTAGGCTCGGTCAATAAGTTTTTTTTTCTTATGACTACTAGGTAAGCGTCTTTGAATTTGAAATTGAACACGATTACATACATAATAAGGGCGCGCGATTAACCGCTTCAATAGAAGGTACTGTGATAAAACACTTCTTTATTTCTCCGAATCAGGACAAAACGATAACAGTTCCTCTAAACAAGCTCATGTCTG